AGCCTTATAAAAAAAATTACTGACTCCAAATCCAAATTTAATGCACTAAATGGTAGTTTATATATATTAAAAATAAAGAAATACATTTTATATTTAAACAATTTTATAATATGATAAATTACCATAAAATATTGAATAATATATATTATATAAAAATATATATTTATAATATAAAAATAAATACATTTTATATAAACTAGGGTTGGGCGATGTCAAATTGCCATCGGACGATGTCTACAGTGAAACATCGTGATGGACGATGACATCGGGGGGCGAGGTTAGGGGTGTGCCCGAAGCGTGAATCCGTATGCAGAAAGGCATGGAAAACAAATAACGCATTCTACGGAGCCACTAAAGGGACATGGTTAGCCGCTTGCTAGCGGTAGACTGTTACATTACAGAACATGAAAGTTCACTTACCACATACACAGAGTAAGGAGAGATGACTGATAGGACAATGGCGAATGATTTGCAGATACTGAGCACCACTGACAAATATCTAATCTTGTAAAATGTGTGGTAGGTACTGCCGTTCCGTAGTATAGAGTGTCCGTGTGATCGCTAATCTCGAAAGTGAAAGTGAAAGTAAAATGAGAACGCGCATTCGAAAGCGGTTTCAATGCCCTGCATATTAGTAGCGGCTCCCTGATGCCCACAATTTAGTATAATTACCCAACTATATAATTGTGAGAGAAAGTATTTAAATATTTTTTTTATCGTCCCATCTCGTAGGCTATTTATTCCCTTTAGGGGTTCCGTAGAACACTTAATTTCTTTTCCGAACACGGAATTAGGATGCGGCGGATTGCGAGGGGTATGGGGGGGGGATCACGATGCCGGCTCAACATCGTGATGTCTGTCAGCCATCGGCGATGGACGATAGCATCGTCTATCGGCCCAACCCTAATATAAACCCAAAATTCAGGATACATTAAAGTACAAAACTGAATGGTTAACAAATGAGACCCACTGCAACGACAGCGTTGCTGAAGCTAAAAATGAGATGTTGTTTTCCCAGCAGTGACTCCTACATTAATGAACATCAATGAGACAGGCATTATGAATACATCAGGAGCTGGGAGTCAAAGAGAGACTGCTGGTTGCTCGCTCGTCTCTTTCTAAGGTCACAGAGGTGCTACAAGAAGAGGAAGTGCACAGGAAATGTGAACATTCTTTTTTTTTTTTGACATATGGTGCCTTTACGTCAGAGATGCGTCGTGTGTCCAGCATGTGGTTTGTCCTGGCAGTTTCTGAGCTGGCACAAGCAGCATGCTGTCATGGTGCCACCAGATTATAGCGGCAACTCCATCTCCACCAGCACTTCACGGCCACTAATGCACCTGCTGCCCAGCACAGGAATGTGAGGACCATGTACGTACAGCTGTTCTGGACTAAATGATTACATGTCCCATAGGACAGTCAAATTACAAATAAGATCTCTATATCTCAGATGTTTCTCCCAGGCAGCAATGAGATTAAATTGCTCTTTTTTTTTTCAAGAACTAGTAGTAGGAGAAGACTAGTAATGCTACCTCAAGACATTCAGAAAAGATGAGCTAATAAGATACCAAAGATCTCAATACGATCATTTCTTATTAAATCCACCCAAGATCAATTATCTGAGTTATGCAATCCACATGAATTTTACAGTTTTATACTGCTACCGTATGTCAACTTTTGACTTATTTGTTTCCTTTAGTAAGTTACTAAATAAATTTTAGGAGTAACATCTGAGACAAAAGTAATATTTAAATAACTAGTACCTTCATGAAGTCTCATGAATGCAAAAGGGAAATATAATAATAATAATAAAAATAATAACTTACATTCAAATTCCTTCAAGCTGCATAAATATATAACTAATACTGTATGCATATATTCATCTCATTTATGCCATGTACAGTATATCTGTATTTCTCACAAGGAATTTTGAAAGAAACACCTGAGACAAAGCTAATATTTCAATGAAGCGCAAATAGGACCTTCATTGAGTCTTAAGAACTGCAATAAAAAGCAGTTCTGATCAATAATATTAACAAAAATAACAACTTATTCTATTCAGATTCTTCAAGACCAAACGATTTGAGAACTGTAAGTGGCATAAATATATACTTTTTACTCATACCGTATGCAAATATTAATCCCACGTATGTCTGTGTATTTCCCACAAGTAATTTTAAGAGAAACATCTGAGACAAAGCTCATATATAAACGCAGCATTACTAGAACATTTATTAAAGGGGTCATATGATGCGATTTAAATTTTTCCTTTCTCTTTGGAGTGTTACAAGCTCTTGGTGCATAAAGAAGATCTGTAAAGTTGCAAACACTAAAGTCTCAAAACCAAAGAGATATTCTTTATAAAAGTTAAGAGTTAACCACGCCTACCTAAAACGGCTC